TTTAGTTTATTCATAACAAATGTTGCACCAACACGTGACTTGCTATAATAATAAACATTACACAATTGTATTGCGATTGTTATCATCTATGCGAAATGGAGCAAATGTTCATATATATATACATAAGTATATATGCATGTAAGAGCATATTCACATAGACATCAATGCACTTACGCAAATGAACTTGCGCAAAACAATAGCTAAAGTCTGATAAAAGTTTTGCCAACAGCGCGCATGAGTTATATGAACTTCTATATCAACATTTACCTATTTTATTTTCTGTCTGGAACTGAGTCTTTTACTCTTTGTCACTGCCCTGGAGCGTATTGTGTAGCTTATTTACAAAAACTTCTGTTTTATCTTGCCGAAGAGAAGCGTTTTACAAGTTTACATATGTATGTATGTATAGTACATATTAAATATTTGTATAACAAACTCATATGAGTTAAGTGTATCAGATACTTAGATATATATACATGTGTATGTACATGTACTAATGACTTAAAGATAACAAAAGATTTTACTTACATACTTAAATATGTATTTGTAAATTAAGTATTTTCAAAAACTTCCCATCTTAGTCGTCTGCAGACAATTAAGTACACTTATAAGTGCCACAAAAGACAAAGCGCCATGAATGCTTAAAACATTAAGATGCCTCGCAAGAACTTTTTGATATTGGTATAGTAAGAAACACAAAAATGAAATGAATAACGAGTAGTTAGTCACTCATAGCAAAGCTAGAATTCATTTTCATAGTTTGTGATATTTGTAGATGTGTGTTTTGGGTGCAAAATGTGAATTATTAATCGACTTACGACATATGCGGGAAGATAATACTCTAAAAAAGAAGTAAGTGCGCCTGGGCCACACTGAAGAGGTGAAACTTACGCTACATATCTATTTTCTCTCATAACCAATATACATACATATGTACATATATACATACATCTGCTTTTGCTTGAAGTTATATTTTTTGTCTTTTTTCTATCTAGATCCCTACCTCTACACCTGTTCGTTCTAACTACATTTATGTTATTCCGTTTTCCAATGTCTTTATTTTTATCCTTTTACTCTATCAATAGTAAAATCGATAGTAATATCGATAACAAAACATCGATAACAAAATCTCGATAAGAAAACCGATAAAAATGTCGATAACAAAATCGATGACAAATTCGATAAAAATTTCAATAGCAAAATCGATAATAATATTGGTGACAAAATCGATTAGAAAATCGGTAAAAACATCGATAACAAAATCGATAAATATATCGATAAAAATCGATCAATAATCGATAGCAAAGTCGATAACAAAAATCGATAAATATATCGATGACAAATTCGATAAAAATTTCGGTAGCAAAACCGATAATAATATTGGTAACGAAATCGGTTAGACAATCGGTAAAAATATCGATAACAAAATCGATAAATAATCGATAACAAAAATCTATAACAAAGTGATAAAAATATCGATAACAAAAGCGTATTTTAATCTATAACAAAATCGATAAATAATCGATAACGAAATCCGATGACAAATTCTATAAAAAACTCGATAACGAAATCGATGTTAATATCGATAACAAAACCAATAACAATAACGATAATAAAACCAATAACAATATCGATAAAAAGTAACGATAACAAAACCGTTAAAAATATTGATAACAAAATCGATATGTTCTGAAAATATCGATAGCAAAATCGATGACAAATAGTTTTGATAACAAAATCGATAAAAGGTATCGATTACAAAACCGATAAAAAATATCGATTTTTATATCGATAAGTCCCGAGAATCCCGAAAATCTCTAAATTCCAAAATATTTCCCAGTTTGAGTCGTTGTGTCTCTATCTACATATATCCTTTTCTCTATAATTACCTTTATTTTAATCTTTCTTCCTCTATCTTCATCTTTACTTTTATCGGTATCCTCATCCTCCTCTTTTTCTTTATATTTTTCTTGGTTTTTACTTTTATGTTTATCATTTTCTTCATCTAAATATTCCCCTTCACCTTTGCCCTTATATACATAGGTAAAGTGTTTAACCCATTTGTTGAGGTAGGGTGTTCTTCAAACAAATTCGGAGAGTCTTTCAATCAAATTCTGAAGTAGGGTGTTCTTGAGCCATTTTCTGAGATGGGGCGTTTTCGAACTAGCTGCCAAAATAGGTCGATCTCCCACTCAGCCGTGGATATTTAACAACAAGAACGGGAAACTTCCAAAATGCACACTGAAACATAATCTTCTATCTCCTATCAGCAACAAATTTTTGAGATTATGCAAGCATAACTGACCTTCGTTGTAGACAGTCACGGTGTCGCCAAAGCCCTATGGCCAGTAGCAACTTAATCGGTATGCCCTCAGGAATGCCGAAGATCCCTACAAGCTTTTCGATAGACAATAGCAAATGCTTGCTGGGTCCCGTAAACCGATGAATGTGCTGGAAAGTGATCTGAGGTAGGCTTAAAGGAAATGGTTCTGAGCGTAAAACCTTCCCTGCGATTCCTATCATCACAATTTGAGATAATGCTGGGGTAACTGGCAACTGTAGTTGATGAATCTGCATATGTAGTTGCGCTATACCGCGCTCACTCTGGCCATTGCTCAATGTCCCGGAGCATTGGTCAAATGAACACCAGCTTCGGAGTCCGCATAACTTTTTATGTCGAGTTATACAGAGGGGGAGAATATGGAATCAATCCAGCATTTCCTATGCGAGTTCCTCACACTCCGGAGAAAACGCCTCAAATTTAAATTTTAAATACTACTATCCTGTTGACCTAAGCCAACTTCTTGGACCATCAAACTCGGGTATCTAAATTTCAACTGTTATAAATTTACTCAAATTTTTTGTTTTATTTAACAATCTAAGTTAGGAAAGGTAAAATTTTAGTTGCTATTCTCATCCAGAGTATATCTTTGAATTCGATTGCGATTTCAGATGAGGTTGGTAAATTCTGCATTGATTTTGTAGCGGTCTGATTCCTAGCGCGAATCTATGTATGGTTATCGATTATTATTAGAGAGAGGAATGTCAGAAGTCTAGAATTTGTGAGCGATCGTACAAAACAATGTGCCCCCTTTGCCACAGTATTTTGTCTGACTGCATTTTAGTCTGTATTTTTATGTATTTTAGCGTAGAGGTTTACAGGCAGGATGATGGGGAGAGTTACAAGGACCCTAGCTGGAGTAGGGGTATCGATCTCGTTATGCACTTGAACTCTGCCAACTGTACCTTACAGAATTGTTTCACCGAATGTCGCGTCATATGGTACTCCTACACAACAATACTCATTCGAAGCAGTTTTGGAGTATTTAGGCTGCATACAAACTCACATTTATATACATCCATAGATCAAAAATCTAGAAAATATTTCCGAAACTTTACGTCAATTGAAGAAAGCGCGAAACATATTTTGTAAATTGGGTAGTAACTTTTGCAACTCACACTAAAAAAATTTTACCTCAATTCAGCGCTAATCCTTGAGCAAATACATATGTATAGGCCAATTGCAGAAAATGCAATTGAAAAGCTAGATAATGGAAACGAAAATATATTTATTCACTTCTCTTCTTTTCCTTTGCTAAAATGGATTTTGCATTTGGGTCACTTCGGGTACGTACACATAAATACCAATTAAAAAAAAAAAAAAACGACAAACTAAAAGCCAAACTTTCTAAATCAACCTGACAAAAACTAAAATACTAAAATCCCTCGCTATGACTACAAACAATACTTCTACGCCAATCAACTTAATCGTTCGAGCAGAGAACCAATTTTAGTTAAATTAAAGTTTGTATCCCCACTGGATATTATTACTTGTGAGTCATTGACAACCAACAGCTAAAGACAGCTTAACTGGCAACAGAAAAGTAACGAGACTTTGTAACTCATACAAATGCATGTTTTTGCTACCAGGCACTGCCCTGTGCGAAAAAAGGAACGTTTGGTAATGTATAAAGCAGGCTTGGGCCAGTTTGAGGCTAATAAAAGCCGCATTTAGCTTTATAAATGCACAAAGAGCCACAAAAAAACGAAACATAGAACTAATTCAAGTTAAAGATCAATGTTTGAGCACTCCTTTTATTATTTAAAAAAAAAAAAACAACAACAGTGTAACCAAGTACCGCGATGATCACAAAGGCAGTTAAACCTTCTAAGCCCATGCTCCTCGAATGCGTTGTAGTAGAGACGAGAAATACATTTGGTCACTAAGCTCAGACCAGAAACATATGTATACTCTCGATGTTACCAAATAATCTGTTAGATTTCCAAAGGGAGCTAGAACTGAATGTGGCGTTGCATGGAGTAAGACGATCTAATAGATCTCCTGGTCGCGCAGTACAAAATAAAAATCCTAATTATATTCAAAAATCTTTGTTTAGCGCTTTGCTTCTACGCATTACCCATTCGCTTACATTGTCATGCATATTTTCACTCAGCCGTAACTGTGAAACCATTTTCTCACTGGGTATTTCTGCTTTTGTAGCATCAGCATGCAAATGCAAAATCGTTCCACTCTCTAGGCAATGTGGCACACACAAAGTTATGTATCTAGTTGGTTGTATCGATCAGTAGCAGTAGCAGCAATGTTGACGAAGCAACCAAATACGCCGACGGCCATCCGCGCAGTCACCCTTATCAACGTCAATATCGCATAAAATATGCAAAAATAATAGCGAAAAAGCAAAACTTTTGCAATTCACTTCTTTTTTATGCTTCTCTATTTTGTACTTTTGGGGGGTATGCCACCCTCACTAGCGATATCTACTCATACAAATGCATACTACTTTACATCAGCTGTCGATATCTATTCAGCAGCAGCAATACCAACTTGCCACTCACTGCCTTACTGTTGGCTACATTTTGCTTTGTAAGTATTTTGATTTGTATTTGTTATGGAACTTCTGCATTGTTTGCCCCCGCCTTCGGCTGTTGTCCATATCAGCCCCTTCGTTTATATGTACATAAATATATTTAGTACTTACCAGCGGCGGTTTGTCGGCCAAACGCTTGCAATTATTCAGCTCTGTGGGTGAGTTATCCTCGTCCGAACTGGGTGGTGTATGTTGCACGGCTTTCTCGTTATCATTGCAGCTGTGCAATATCGAGTACGCAAGGACATGTAAGTAATAGAAAGCAAAAAGTGGAAAAGTTAAAGACCGTAGCAGACGTAGACCGTAAAGCTGTAGCAAATACTGAATTGTAAGCAAATAAAATATGTATTGTATTCAAAGAGGAAAAATTTGTATTGACTGCTAGTGACTAAGCATAATGGCGTAGTTAAATATTTATAGTGGAGTTTTAGGCGTGCGGATGGATGGAGGTGTTGGAGTGTTGTGTTGTGACGTCTGGTCTGTGTGCAGGAAATTGCGTAAATGTTTGTGGTCTGTCCCTTCCTGTTGTTGTTTTGGTTTTTGTTGTTGATGCCATCATTGCGGGGGTTGTGCACACACACACTTGTGACTGATCATATGCATAACCAAAGTGTGTATGTATGTATGTAAGCTTAAAAAGTGCATAAGTACTGACTGACTTCACTTTTGAAGATAATCCAAATTGACAACTGCAGTCAATAAACTTCAAAGCACATGTGCAATATGGTCATACATTCAGACATACATACGTACCTACGCACGTAATTTATCTATATGGGGCGTTCCATACCAAAATGTAAATTTTTGGGATTGATGGACAAAAAATAATAGATAAATATGAAATTTGAGTTTGATTAATACATTTTTAAAAACTTTACAGCACAAAAACAAAAACAAACCGGGTTAATAGTTTTTCAAATATATGGGGAACGGGGCAAAGAAAGAATTAAAAAAAAATCACACATATACACACTAAAATTCTCTATGCAAAGAAATATTCTTTAGATTTTTTTTCTTGAAAAATTTTTCACATACAAATTTTTTGATAAAAAAATTAATTTTTGAAAATATGCAGTTCCGAAAAAAAATAAAAAAAATCACAATGGTAGCTTCGAGTATTGCGCAATATTTAAATATAGTATTGCGGTGTGCACTCTACAATAATTTGAGTTAGGAATTTTTTTTACACCGAAGTCGAGTAAAATGCTTACTTTACAAATTTTTAATTTATTTTTATTCGGTTTTTTGTAGCCCATTAAATTTCAGTATAATAAAGTAAATACGGAAAACCGTTTTCACGGAAAATTAAAAAAAAAATTAACGACACTTGCTATAATTTAATGGGCTACAAAACTGAGTACTCAAAAAAAAAAAAAATAAAATAAATGTAGAAAATTTGTAAGTTTGTAATATACTAAATTTACTCAACTTCGACGTAAAAAAATTCATAACTCAAATTATTATAGAGGGCACCTCGGAATACTATACTTAAATATTGCGCAATACTCAGAGCTACCATTGTGATTTTTTTCTATTTTTTTTGAGAGAAAGAAAATTTGTATGTGAAAAATTTTTCAAGAAAAAAATATTTAAGAAAAAATTTCTTTTCACAGAGAATTTGTGTGTATGTGCGACTTTTTCAAATTTTTTCCACGTCCCGTTCTCGAGATATATGGAAAACTATTAAATCGATTTGTTTTTGTTTTTGTGCTGTAAAGCTTTTAAAAATGTATAAATCAAACTCAGATTTCATGTCCATCAACACTAAAAATTAAAAAAAAATCTAACACATGAAATGTGAACCCCGTACATTTTGGTATGGAATGCCCCATATATAAATATATGTGGATGTATGTATGTACATGTTAACATGTGTATACTATTTGTGTCCACACATAGTGGCATATCTCTGGTTTATGTGGTCACCCCCCACTGGGGGAGTGCACGGTGCTGTTGCATGTACGCTTTTGTAATTCATGCGATTATTCATGTACTATGCTCGTCCGTATCAACTATATTCACCCCCAATGATGGTTGTGTGGGAATTTTCAATTCTTATTTTTATTTATACCGTTATGGTGTTTAGTGGTGCTTACTGCTGCTTTGTATTTTTATTTGTATGTTGTGTTGAGTGACTGACTCCCCTTTTCTCAAATGAATTGAAAGAATTGCATTTATGAGCTATGAAAAATGTCGTGAATCGTTTAATTTAATTTGTGACGCTCCAAAAGACAGTAAAAATTTAATAAAGTGTACAGCATCTACGCATTTTTTCCGAACAAGTTTTCGCCGTGTTTTTCTTACATCTATAGGGTTTTTTATAAAATCTTGATTTTTCGAATATCGAAAAACCGATTTTTTCAAAGCTAGTGGCCCGCTGTATAAACTTTTGTTGCTTTTTCCCACTTTTTCATATGCCTATTCTTTCAATAAAATTTGTGAGTTTTTCTGCTTCTACTCTTTTTGATGTTGCTGGGACCAGAAATGGAATTATGAATCTCCCGAATGGCAGTAGGCACAGTTTCAGCACTCGGCTACGGCGGCAAGAGTAGTACTCAAATCCGAAAAAAATGTCAGAACAAATGCAATAGATTATTAATAAAGTTAGAAGAAGGCCAAACGTTAATTGTTCACTGATTTTTATTTGCTTTACTTTTGCTCTAAAAAAAAAACTTTGAACTTATTTTCATTTGCTCTGTTCTATGATTAGTGTTTTGTTTTTGGCTGTCTTATTATAATTTATACGTTGAGTTTTGAGCTTTTTTTTCTAAATAAAAGTTTTCTTTACTTTTAAAAGTTTTATTGCAATTTTGGTCATGACTTCATACTAACGTAGGCATTTTGACTGAATGAAAACTATGTAAAACAATATCGGTTTATATAATTTCGAAATCGTAAACCGATTTTTTCAAATTCCAATTTTTCGAATAACTCAAAAACTGGTTTTGGAAATCAGGCGAATAATCGAATACCTTACTACTTACTGAAACATCAATTGTTAAATCAGCGGCTGCACTTTATGGCAGTTTGTATAAGAACTGTCTGTCTCGTTCGCCTCTTACCCGTATTCCTGCTCCCAAGTAGTATAAAGACCTTCAGAAGTTGAGTATTGATTCCAAGAAAAGTTTTAAAGTGAGCGCTCAATATTAATACTGATTTTTACTCCGAACAATACAGACCAAGAAAGTTAAAGTAGCTAATTCGTTCTGCCGATTTCTGCAAAAAGCTCAGCAGGGTGTTGGAATCTCGAGGAACAAATGGAGACCCATTGAGTTTTAAAAAAAGATATGAAATTAAAAAAAAATTAAGCCAAGATTTTTCATTTAAGTTTTCATCTTAGCATTAACTCGGAGTAGATTTCCTTTCAAGATGGTACCTCGTGATGTGCTATACCAGGGAAGACTGGTTGCGTGCAATTTTGCGAGATTTTCTTCCTCTATCAAAAATGTCTATGTGAATCATTCGCCCGAATGCGATTACGATGACTTCACATTCATGCACCCATTTTATGTTTAAAGCACGTGCCTCGATTGATGCTTTCGCTTTATTTTTAGTACGTTCATATTTATCATTTATGCTATAATATTATATAGAGAATGCGCGATAACTGCAGCATACTTCAAGACATAAAAAAAAAAACTGTAAAAATTTCATTGACAATTTTTTTTCTCGCTACTCACTTTAAATTCGCCTGCGTGAATAAATGCATTGGTCGTCGATTGCGCCCCACTGAGCCATTCAGCATGGGCGATGAGGGTCGCGGCGAATCACCGACGACACCGTGGCGCAGCGGCAGATATGTGGGTGGTTTTCGAACACCACCCAATGTGGAGACACCATTGTAGTGATTACCAATAGCTTTGCCAACAGTATTCATATTTGTACTTGAATTCGGCGTGTTGGCGAGATTATTCGCATTCTTTGCTCGCTGCAGTGTCTTCGCGGGTGACGACGACGTGGACGATGTGGACGACGAACGGAAGCGTGCACCCGTCAGCACAGCAGCCAAATTGGCGGCAATGCGATTGTCGAAACGATTAAAGTAGCTGCCATTGTCGATGCTGGTGTGCTGATTGCTGTTGTTGGTGTTGGTGTTGGTGTTGCTATTCTGATTGTTGCGGTTCGCAGTTGTTGGCGAAATAGTGGCTGGCGGCGAGGCGCGCGCTGTTGCTGTGCTGTCAGCAACACCCGCTGGCGCAATATTGCTATTACGTTCATAATCCAAATTATTGTTAATCATTTTGAATGAATTTATGTGTGTCGATTATGCGGTTGAGCGAAGGACACCTGCGGCGATTTCACGTTTTTTTTTTCTTTTTCTTTTTGTTGATATGGAATTAACGTTTGGTGCACTTTTCACCTCAATTTTATTTTTGCTTCGCACTTTTTTGTTACAAGTAATTTTGTCACATTTATGTATTCATATTTTTTTAGTCACACCATTTTTATTTTAATTTATTATTTTTTTGTTATACTCCAATTCTGCTTGAAAAAAAAGTTAAATTATTTTTAGCATTCAACTCCCAGTGGGTGGCAATTGCGTCGCTTTTGACACTCCTCTTTTTGCTTTCGCTGCCCATTCTCTAACTGCTCCCCGACTGCTGTTCCAACCACAGCTTTACGCCACATTACCAAAGTTAATTCATGCGTAAACTGACAACAACGTACGTACACATAAAAATGCACAACAAAAAAAAAAAAAAACAATGGCAGGCAGCCAAGGCCAACCAAAGCGTTAAGCCGGAAGGAAACAAGCATTGGCAAACCGCAAAACTCACAAACAATAAAGGCAATGAGGTATTGCGCCGCATCGATGGCAAAGCCAATGCAATGCACAAGGGAAACATGACAACAACAACAGGAAAAAAAATATTTTTATATGTGGCAGGAAACGATACGCTGATGTCGTTACAGCCAAATTCAGTGCCATGAAATACTCAAATGCATTCACTTTGAAGCGCCAAAAAAGAGTGATGTGTCCAACTTGTAGAAGGGAAGGCTGATTAAAGGGAACGCCGAAGTGAGTGATCG